AGTCTAGTTGAAGACAAGCACTTGAAAGTGAGATGTCTGTTGGCTCTGTGCTCTAGCTTGTCAGGATCCTTCTAAAAGGCAACAGATTCATCTTCACTGTCAAACACAACTGTATCCCCTACTCTGTGTCATCTGCCAGCTTGCTGAGGGTATACTCTGCCCCTGTCATCCAGGTCATTAATGAAGATGTTAAACAGGACTGGACCCAGTATAGTCCCCTGAGGCACACCACTGGTGACTGGCATCCAGCTGAGTTAATCATAGCCACTGAAGACCAACAGTTCAGTCAGTTTTCAATCCACCTTGCTGCCCACTTCTTTAGTCTGCATTTCATCAGTAAGACAGTGTTGAAAGCCTCACTACAGCTGAAATCAAATGACATCCACTGCTTTTAACTGATGCAGCACTCAGCCTTCTTATTTTAGAAGGCTACCACGTTGGTCAGGCACTATTTCCTCATTATCCATGATGACTAATTCACATCACTGCCCTTGGAAATGGTTTCCAGGAGAATTTGCTCCATCACCTTCCCAAGGATGAAGATGAACCTGAGCAGCTTGAAGTTATCCAGATATTCCTTCTGGTCCATCTTGAAGATAGGAGTGATGTTTGCTCTCTTTCAGCACACTCAGTACAGCAGTTTACAGATTTATGCATTCTTTTTATTTACTATTTGTGAACTCAAAAAGTTCTTTCTCTCTTCAAAGTGAAAAAGCAAGGGAAATCTTCTATTCTTCTGGTAGTGCTGAATGGAGGGAACTACCATTTGGCATTTTCTGAATAAAGATCTACATATATTTTAATAGCAAAATACAGCTGTGTAAACTGAAGGACACAGTTATCCAGACAGGTGTTTCAAAATATAACCTATAAAGCAAGGACAAAAAATAAATTAAAACCTTGGCAATGGATAGATATATATATTTATATTTAGATAAACATACATGCATATGTATGAAGAAAACAAAGATGTTTTACACAACCCATTAAAAAAGAAAAAGCAAAACAATTAAACTGCTGAAAGAATTATTATCCCCATTCCCTAAGAGTTCTGAACTGACGGTTGCAGGAAATCTTACAAACATGAAAAATGTTTCCATTTACCTTAAAATGCAATACTCTCCTTGTGTAAAACTCTAAGAGCCTTAACTTGTGCATTGGCAAAGAAACACTGCCATTTCTATTTAGCAATTAGCTTTTTTGTTTGAGAATTTTACAAAAATAAATCAGTGTGTTCTACTTCTCAGAGGAACAGATGTTTCAAAACCCAACTTGTGTGAAATTCTTGGACATCAAACCATCTTTATTAAAAAATGTTACAGGATCCCTATTTCCTCCTCCTGTCTGTGTTTGCTCCAGCTGTTCTTATGCAAGGAAAACCTAAAAATTTACTTCCACTGGCCCCAAACGCCACCCCCTCCTGTCATGTTTAGGGATTGTAACATGAAAAGGGGAAAGAGATTCTGCCTTGAAAACATTGTCTTCCAAGACTGCAGGCTGTTTATCTGACTGCTCCTATACCACTCCTTTCTTATCTTCACAGAAAACAAAAGAAGTGCTGGTGACATAGAGTGGCTTGTGCTACAGGAATCTGACCCCACCAAAGGGTGCAGCCAAGAAGGCCAACAGCATCCTGGCCTGTATCATAAGTAGAGTAATGACCATCCACCTGTACTCAGCACTGGTGAGGCTGCACAGTGAATCTTATGTTCAGTTCTGGGCCACTCACTGTAAGAGAGATATTGTGGTACTGGAGCAGGTCCAGAGAAGGGCAACAAAGCTGGTGAAGGGTCTGAAGCACAAGTCTCATGAGGAATGGCTGAGGGAACCGGGGTTGTTTAATCTGGAGAAGGCTCGGGGGACTTTATCACTGTCTACAGCTACCTGAAAGGAGGTTGTTGTGAGGTGGGGGTTGGTCTCTTCTCCCAAACAAGCAACACGACAAGAGGTAATGGCTTCAAGCTGCACCAGGGGAGGTTTACATTGGATATTAGGAAAAATTTCTTCACAGAGATGGTGATCAGGCATTGGAACAGGCTGCCCAGGGTAGTGGTGGAATCACCGTCCCTGGAAGTGTTCAAAAACCATGTAGATGAGGCTCTTTGTGACATGGTTTAGTGATGGACTTAGCAGCCCACAAAAACACGGAAAAAGGTTTCTGCAAGCCAGGCACAAGTGCCTATTTCAACATCTGGCCCCACTCAAAAATGCTGAGCAGTCATAGCCACCTAATTCTGCTTTAGTTTGTGTTCATAAGTCAAAGGCAATTGACACCGTTTTCTCCCAACACTTGAAAAACAACTAAACAATGCCAGTCCCACCATTGAGTACTGCAAACAGCCCCGCTGATCTCCTAGCAAGTTACAATAAAATGAATTTAAAAAAAAGTTCAGGGAAACCAATCAATCATCTAAGCAATAAAGTTAAAAGCAGATTAGAAATGAATATCCCTGACTGATGGAGCCTTACAAAACTGCTGTTTTCAAACCCTCTATAGAACCTTTTCTTTTTTAATCAGCACAATTGGCTTTGAGTGCTTTGTCAATGCGACAAACCTTTTCCACCAGAAATGCAGCATTTATTCAAATGCTAATGAAAGAGAATGCAATTTGTAGTGGTGCTGAATCAACTTTTCAAGACTGTAATTTGCATTTGTATGAAACTGATTTTTTTTTAATATAAAACATATTTGAATATGGTTCTGAGACTAAACAAATTGATACACTGCTTTTGCTATCGGTGCAAAAGTATTTTGATTTCCTTATGATGGGCAACCCTAATAATACTGAGCAGCTTTTTTATATTTACAATTTTTTTTTAAACTGGAGAGAAGTCTCAAGATTCATTAAAATCATAGCTCTTGTATTAAACCGTCGTATCTACTAGCTCAATTTTCAGATCCAAATCAATTGCTCGTACCATTCTGCCAATGTAGATTCATCTCTCAATTCACCATAACTGACCAGAGTTTGTAGACCATAACTTTCAGCAATATAATGATCTTCGTATAATCATCAGCAGGCACAAGTGGTTCTTCCATTTTTATTTCTCCACGACATCCCCAAACCCAGAACAGAATAGAAAGTAACACTGAAAATACTCTGCTGTTATTTATTATAAAATCACTGTCATGTCTGAAACTGGATTACTGGATTCAGTTTTGGTCTTCCCAGCTCAGATGAAGCATAACTGGAGTGAGATCAAGAGATGGAGGCATAAAGTTTCCATTCAAAGAGCAGGAAAAAATCCGAAGCTACGTTGTTTCATTTTCATTGAATATATTGGGATAGTAACAAGAAGACACTTCCTCCAGAAGAAATAGGCTGCTGCATGGATATTTTTGTTGGTCAAGGAAGAGGAAAATCCTTCCATCCCACATATCTGAAGCTAGCAACTAACAGCGGATGTAGCTGATAGGAACAATGAAAAATACACCTTGTTAAAAAACCCAAGCAAACAAAGCCCCACAGCCTGACTTCAGCATGTTGCTATGTATAAGCCAAACAGAACCTGAGCTTCAGAGACCTCTGGGCTGAAATCTGCTCAAAGGCACAAGAGGTACTGCCATGTCTGATGACGCCTGCTGAGATACCCAGCATGACTGGCACAGATAGAGGGAGCGGTCTGGGAAAAAAGGCATTATAACCCACCATAGTGGGTTAAGACATTGTGGCTTAAGACATGGTGGCAGCAGCTGATGTGATAATCACCAGCCATACAGCTACACTGAGAGTAGCTGGAGAGTAAAAAGGATGTCACAGGAGTGAGAAATTGTTTATGACTTCCACTGAATTTCTGTTTACCCCTATACACACGGGCAGTTAGGGCAGGGAGAGCAGGCACAAGACCTCTACTTCAAAATCTCTGTGTGACTTCACCTGTAGAAAAATATACATGGCCTCATCTTCAGTTACCCTGGATACAGTAAATACCAGGTAATGAAGCATGAAACAAATCAAACAAAGCACCAAACCAAGCAAAAACCCAACAAACAAAACAGATACCCACCAAATTTGTGGCAAATGTGGGCTTGGGATTTTATTTAAAACTGCATTCTTTGAGGGCAAGGGCATTCCCCAGTATACACATATACACCTGAATTGGGAGTAATCCCAGGACCAACCAGTTGTCCCTCGCTACAGCTGACCAGGGTAAAGGCCTGGTGGGAAATGTATACATACATGGAATCATAGACTATTTTGGGTGGAAGTTACCTTAAAGATCATCTATTTCCAACCCCTGTGCCACAGTTAGGGACACCTTCCTCTAGACCAGGTTGCTTCAAGGCCTCTCAAACCTGGCCTTGAACTCTTCCAGGGATGGGGCAGCCACAGCTTCCTTGGGCAACTTTTCCAGGGCCTCACTACCCTCATATTAATGTGGATTCCAACAATGAACAAACACACTCTGGATCCCACCAGTAGCTGGGCTTAGACACACAGTCCATCCAGTAGCTGTCCCTGAATCCCTGCTCTCCCCAGTTGCCTCATGCACACACATATGTGCAAACAGGCCTCAGCTGACCTCCAGACTCCATTTCTAGTTCCAAAGTAAAACTGGAATGCAGTTAAGCCAAAAACAGTAGCCTTGGGCTTAATTACCAAAAACCCCATGCAGTCAACAACACACTACATGTTTCCCAGGAGCAATCGAAAATAGGATGAGACTTATGTGTGAAACAGGTTCAATAAGCACAGCACACAACTTAACTCTCCCCTGTTCCCTTGAGGTAAAAAGCAGAGTTTATCAGCCAAGGTTTGGTTTTGGTGGTTTTTTTTGTGTGTTTTATTTGTTTGTTTTAAAGTCTTTTCCTATTCTATTCACAAAGTTGAGCAGAAAAGGGTTTACAGAGGCAGTCCTGGCAAGCCTGTATTTGATGATGTGTAATATATTTACTCTGTAGCTTATTTATGTATACATTATAGGAAAAAATCCCGGTGATAAAATGTAAACATACAATTACATTTCTACAAGTGCAGAAGCGTTTACTTTCTGCATTAAAATGAGGGAATCAAGGCACTGAGACAATCCATGATGCAACATTGTTAAAAATCACCATACAATTCCAAAGGCAGCCTGGTTTCCTGCCATTTCAAACATGTTTATCTTCCTGCTTGAAAGGTCAATGGAGAAAATTAAGATTTGGGTGACTACAGACAGCACTTTTGACAATAGCTTTTAGTCAAAAGCATGTGTGAAACAAACTCTTCAGTGTTACAAAAGCATAGGAAATGCTAAATATTTAGCTCCATACATCCTGCAAATATCGTTTTGCTTCTCGAAGAGTGGCCAGGAATTTCATTGCTTCCAATTTGTCAGCCTCCATTTCCATGCTTAAAATGTCCACTACAGCATCACTTACACCATCAGCCATGTGCTTCTTATCTCTGAAAGAAAAAAAAGATATATACTAGGAAAATGCATAATAGTGTATTTTTGGTTTTATCAGTAGCTTCAGAGGTGAGGCAAGATAATATTGGAAAAGAGGCATTAAAAAATCCAAACCAAAAATATAGCTTGCATACAGCACAGCAAAACTCTGAGTTCTCACACAGCTGAGCACTGACAGCAACAAGGGTTTCTCTCAAGCAACATTACAAAGTTTTCAGCATATTGTAATTTATAATAAAAAAATCCCTTGGAACCCTACTTGAATTGTCACAGAATAACTTCTTTTAGGGGAACCTGACCTGCTGAAGTAATTTTTATTATTATATCACCATATGGTTCCAATATAACAAAACAAAACAAAAACCCCCAAACTCCTCACTTATTAATAATGGTATTTTTAGTACACATTGCTCAAATTTATTCCTGCAGAAGACTCTACTGACATTGGGGCTCATATTCAAATATTTTGATAATTTATCAACAAACTTCCTAAAAATTTCAAACCTTCGGGTAAGCTAGCAGCCACAAATAAAACTTCCAAATAAATTATATTACTGAGATTTAGCATTCTGGCCCACCCAAGCCTGGAAGACAGCTGCTATCTCACAGCTGTGCAGTTCAGTCACATGTACTCAAATTTTGGATCTCATTTTCTCAAGAGAAATCTATTAGCTTGAAACCTCCTATTATCAAGAAATCAAAAAGAAATAATAAATGACTAAAGCAACCATGGATCTGTGTGATTACAAGCTACATATTCAAGACAGTATTGAAAAAAGCATTCCAGGGAGGCACTTTGAGTATCATGTCCTGGGTTCAGCAGTAGCAGTCATTTTTCTCCTTTTTAGTAGCTGGTGCAGTGCTGTGGTTTTGACTTTCAGCCTGGGAACAGTGCTGATAACACCGAAGTTTTTAGTTGCTGCTCAGTAATGTTTACTCTGATCAAAGCCTTTGTGAGTCTCATGCTCTGCCAGGGAGGAGGGGAAGCCGGGAGAAAAGAGACACAGGACACCTGACCCAAACTAGCCAAAGAGGTATTCCATACAACAGCACATCATGCCCAGGATGTAACTGGGAGTTACCCGGAAGGGCTACTTCACTGATCTCTTGTTATTTCCCTTATCATTATTATTATTGGTGGTAGTAGTAGTGGTTTGTGTTATACCTTAGTTACTGGACTGTTTTCTCAACTAGTGGGAGTTACATTCTTTCGATTCTCCTCCCCATCCCTCCGGGAGCTGGCGGGGGGAAGGAGGAGAGTGAGAGAGCAGCTGCGTGGTTCTGGGTTGCTGGCTGGACTTAAACCACAACAGCTTTTTGGTGCCCAACGCAGGGCACGAAGGGTTGAGACAACGACAGATCTGACTGGAGTGTGTGTAATCGTATTTGTGATAAGCATTGTTTCAGATTAACAGTCACTCGTCACAATGCTGATTTATTGGCTCTCAAAGTTGTTGCTCTTGATCTCAGTTTCAGCATGTCGTACCTTACTTACAGCTGGTATTTGCTGTCTTAGTGTTTACCAGCTGGGGGGCTTGGGCTAAGGTTCTTGCTTCACTGTACTTTATGGTAATGACTTGTAATACAACAGAATCATTGATCATGAAACTTATCTGGCTTCCGTTCCCAGTGTGGTCACCACCTCTATACTTTGGGAGGTATATAATAGAAGTGTATAGCAATTACACATCTTTTTTCCCTTCCTCGCGTTGTCAGCCTATGAGGAACACATTCCCACACACCCTAGTGACAAGTACAGCAGCTACTCAAACTCCGACTGAAACAGACAGTGCAGCTACTCCAGCACAGCAGCTACACCAGTCCCAGTCACATGTACAGCAGTGCCATTTGAGAGTTCTGAAGGTTTTGAATGGCCTTTAGGTACCCTTGAGACCTGCCTGCTGATTGTGATGGGGATCAGCATGTTGGCAAGCATACAAGGTGTGTTTTACCCACAACTGCTTTGCCTGCTCTCAAAAGTTAAGTGGAGTCGTGTTTGGGTCTTGCCTAGCATCAGATGGCGATATATGAGGACCAGGAGATTTTCCCCAAGGCTGGACACTCATGAGTGGCAGGGTGTGTGGGACAGTATGGGAGAGTATCTAGTCAGCTGGGGCCCTCCAGTGCTTTGGAAGCATCAGAGATGAAAGGCAGCTGTATGGAGTCCCCAGCGACAAGTTGCAGAAACTGCTGAAAGAGATGGTGAATTATTTTGAGCCTGGTGGGCCCATGACACTTCAGGCCATCAGGGCAGAGATGCAACATAGAGATGGACTCATGATCGAGGGGTGGACTTAGCAATGGACACTATTGCCCAGGTTATTTATGAATGTGAACACTACACACAGTCTCTCCTGCTCTGAAAGACTGTTACAAGAGATGAAGCCCGACGTCATGGACCAGATGGACTCAGCAGCTTTATAGGGATTGGTCCATGCACTAAGGAATGAACACTCTCTCTCTCTCTCTGTGGGAATATATATATGTGCACATATATAAGAGTGATGGTATATTGAAAATGTGGGATCTGAACATGATGTGAATGGTATGGAATAAGGGGTGGATACTGTCCTGGGTTCAGCAGTAGCAGTCATTTTTCTCCTTTGTAGCTGGTTCAGTGCTGTGGTTTTGACTTTCAGCCTGGGAACAGCGCTGATAACACCAATATTTTTGGTTGCTGCTCAATGTTTACTCTGACTAAGGACTCTGTGAGTCTCATGCTCTGCCAGAGAGGAGGGGAAGGCGGGAGGAAGCAGAGACAGGACACCTGACCCAAACTAACCAAAGAGGTATTCCACACCACAGCACGTCATGTCCACTATATAAACTGGGGGCAGTTACCCAGAAGAGCTAGATCACTGCTTGGGTCGGGCTGGGTATCGGTCGGCGGGTGGTGAGCAGTTGTATTCTCTTCCCTTGTTATTTCCCTTATCATTATTATTATTGGTGGTAGCAGCAGTGGTTTGTGTGATACCTTAGTTACTGGACTGTTCTTATCTTAACCCATGGGAGTTACATTCTTTTGATTCTCCTCGCCATCCCTCTGGGAGTGAGGAGAGGAAGGCGGGGGAGTGAGCGAGTGGCTGCGTGATTCTGGGTTGCCGACTGGGCTTAAACCACGACACATGTTGGTCTTTTTTTCAGACACCACTAAGTCTTTGTAAAGCCTCAAAGTTCTGCCAACTCTGTTCTATTTCTGAGACAGTCCATCTGCACTCTATACCTACCCACATACATAGAAGTAACCTCTCTCTTTCAGCAGGACTCTGGCAACTTCCTTAGCATGAAGCCTGATGACATCTTGCACATATTTAGGTGGGGCTGCATCTGCAGTTGAAGAAGAGTCTCTTGAGAAACAAACCTTAAGATGCTTTAACGTGCCATTTTCCAGAAAACATCTGAGCTCATCTCTGAAAGGCAATAGCAACTATTAGTAACAGCTCAGAGATAAGCATTCCTCATGAATACAAAATGAATGCTAAATAGTGAACTTGCTTGAACAAATAGTCTCGGTCCTGATGCCGACAACCAAAAAACAGCCATGTCTCTCCAAATTCCCAGTCCATATGTTCCTCTCTGAGTTTTTGCCTAAACAGACCAAAAGAAAAAAAAAAATAAAAAAAAAACCAATCCTGTTTTATCAAGTGCAGAATCTAAAACATCTATAACCTAATTCTCATGTAAAGTAGTGCTTTAATAAACTTCTGAATTGGCAGAAATGTGAAATGACTTAAAGTAAATCACAGTCAAACCCTTCTTACTTACTTGATTTTCTTGACTACTCACTTTTGGCATAGCTCAAAATCAATCAGCTTTAAAGAGAGTCTTTTTTTGCCAGTTTCATAATGGAATACTCAAGACTGACACTTCCAAGCGCCTCGCAAAACAATCCTGACTGCTGAATAAGGAGATCACTACCCTTTATCCTTCATTGGAAAGGGAAAACTCAGTACAAAGCAGTTTTAGCGTGCTTTCCATTTAGCTGTAGAAACCGGCTAGACTTTATGAATAACAATCTATTTACTACCATATCATCAGAAGAGTTATTGTATTTTCTTGAAATAATGCTGAAGGTATTACTTTAGAGGGGTTTTAGCTGCAACTTTCTAGTTACATTTTGAGAGAGAGATTTCATTTCTCATTGATCAAATGCTTATGAAATGCTATGAATCCTTTAAAATAAAATGCAAAATACTTCTGAGAGAAAAATATATATTTGGGAGCTAAAGTTAAGGAGTAAGGACATAATGATCGTACATCATGATTTGGTCAAAGTGGAAGCATGGAGTCAGAAACACTGTGTCCAAATTTCACTTTTCTCTCAGCTAAAATTATTTAAAATTAATTGCTGGAGGATTCAAGAAACTTCAATATCTTGCTAGAACTAATGAGTCACATAGGAATCATATGTGTTGGTTCCCTACAAAACTTGCAACCATTCCCACTCAAATATTGCATTCTTCCTGGTTTTCATTTCCTCCAAATGAACATATTTTTACATATTCTTGGTGATGTGGTATTGGCCAATTTTTAAACAAGCATCTCCTTGCCTTGCAAAATTTCACTACATGAGTTGGAGGAAGGGAAAAAAGGGATCTACCTTCCCTTGAATACAAAACCCACAAACCCAAGAGCACTGCCCATTTGAGGGTTCATGTGCCAAGCTCCTCATGTTAAAACATCAATATATATAACACACAGAAATAAGGGAATATGGGAGAAACCATGACATTCATCATGCCAAGGCTTTTAATATAGATATCACGTCTGAATGAAATGGATTTTGAATACCAAACTTAATCCACAGTGTTAATCAACACTGTTTCTATAAGTACCAACATCTTACAGGACTTCCACTAGTAACACACAGGTAACAGATTTAATTTCTTATAACCATTTCTGCAACCCACCCAATTCCTAATATGATAGCTTGGCTTCACAAGCGAAGATTTGGGAATGGCTTTAACCACGCTTATACAAGCAAAATGACCAAGGGCATTGGGATATGCAAATCTGGTTGGAAAAGGGTGCTGAGGCAATCAGGGAGTGTCCGACGAGGACTGTCATCTCCTGAGTAATCTCGAGCTACCCATGCACTGGTCTGCCTGCATGCAAGATTGGATCTGCAGCTTCCCATGCACCTGTCACCTACCATTTCGACCCTTGCCTGTCCATACAGACAGGTAAAAGTGAGCCCTTCCAGCCTGCGCAGTGGATTTTTTAGGTGAGGCGCAGCTTGCGCAGAACTGGCTCCATCCTTTACACCTGAGGTTAACTGCCATGGCCTAGTTATCTAGGATGGTGGCAGCAAAGTCCACAGGTTGCAGGTTTTGTAAGGGTGTCCTTCTCTTAGATGAAAGACCATACAAGGCTAGACAAGCTCCATCAGCCCAGGTTTGAAGATAGGAGTATTTCCTTCTCCTATGAGGAAGGCCTGTCTTCACTAACGAAGATTCAGGATGGGCTTTAACTCACACAATCTGAGCAAGACTGTCATTTCCTGGGCGAATCTCAAGCGACCGCTATTGCGAGCCCACTGAGGGAGGGAGGGAGGGTTAACTGCATTTGCACTCAAAACCTAAGGCTTTATTGTCTTCAACATAAGAAGGCTGCTTTCCAGGTAACAAGTTTGTACATACCTATGCTGTAAGAAACCAATAAATGGTGAAATTCCTGTTCCTGGACCAACCATCATGAGTGGGACAGATGGGTCTGCAGGTAAGTGGAAAGTATTGTTTGGACGAGCAAAAATAGGTATCTAAAATGAAATTAGATAAAATACAACTGAAGAACATTCTTAAGAAGTGAAAAATACCATGAAATTTTTAGAACCTTTAGGAACATTTACATAGTGTATGTCTTGACACAACATTCCAAAACCTGAGCTTCAAAGTTTATCTTTAATGCCACACAGACATTTAGAATAAAATTTCAGATGAGTTTCTGGAAAAAATCCACATCAAATTTACAAACCTATTAATCCATCTGGAGGAAAACTAGGGAAAACCACACAAACATAAGTTTCTGGTTATGAAAATTTTGGGGAATACTGTTACAAAATTCATGGAAAGTTTGGTGTTGGTACTCAAAGGGAAATAAAGCTATTCTATTGCTATTATAAGCAACTCAATCTTTTTTTACACTGTGGACATCTAAAAATATTCCAGTGGAGGTGAGAATTTGCTTACAGCAAATTGAAGCCTACTGATACTGAGCTTGTCTTATTAATTTCCCTAAGTTTTACATGATCTCCAAAAATGCATATGGGTGAGAGGAGGCAGATAACTGCTCAAAGATCTTGGAAAATGGTTTTTACTACTCCACTGATAAACACTTAATTCCGATCTTCAGCTATGTCTGAAAGGAAATCTAAACATAATTTTCATAGGAGCTCCATAACTATTCTCTGAGGTATGGTTAACAATGTACAGAAAATGAGAGATGACTAGTTTTAATTCTTTAAAAGATAATTTAAGTCGCTGGTTTCATAATGATTAAAAATAATGGTATAATTATTGCCTGTGGGGGCACTATTTGTATTTATGTTATATTTACCCCTCCAAACCACACTTAAGTTTGGAGGCTATTTTCGCTATTAATGATTCCAAGTTGATCATTCCTTTAAAAAATACTGCAAACAGTAAACACATTTATACTGCAGATAATTCAGAAATTTATTTGCTCATTTTGTAATAATCCTTTTTAGCTCCACCTCTTTTATGTGTTTGATCATTAATATACTGTAAATTAACTAGTATTTTAAATAAAGAGCAGATGTGAATGCTGGAATAAGATATATGATACTCATATTAATGAGTCTATCTCATGACTTAGTTTTAAAAAAAGAAAATAACTTGCATGGGTTTTCCTTCCATTTTGTCAGACCTGCACCTTGAATTATTGGCACAGTTTTCTTGTAACCAAATTCTATGCTAGTTTTCATTATTCTTAATCAAATATAAATTAGACTGGCAGTAGTTCTTTTGTTCCATTAATTATGTAGTAGAATTCCAAATTTTTAATAATTAGCTTACACCTAATAACTTTAAGCCTGATTGTTTAGACAGATTCTCTGCCACAAAAAGAAAGGGGGGTGGGGGCAGAAGTACCTTCTCCTAATAATACCCATTATGTCAAACAATCTTTGATGCATATCAGAAATGCTACAGACAACTCTATCCTGTGTCATATTCAATAACTTGGCCTTTGCAAACTGTGCAAGACCTGACAAAAAAATGAGTTTTAGTTTCTCTCCTGTTATCTGCCACCCCTTCCTGGAAGTGACCAAGCACCTCTCTTCTACAACACTAATAGTCATAACCATTTACTTGCACAGTAGTATTTAGTAAATGAGAACATTCTCCATGACTCACTTAGGACTACAATGGGGTGGAAAACAACCCTAGTCTTTCAGCAATGGGAAATTTCACAGTTCAGGTATCCACAGATAAAGTAAAATATAAGCTTAGCAACTTAACAATTAAGATCTAGACATATTAGAGAGGGAAGGGTGAACTTACAAGTAGGACAGAACTGCAAAATGAAGATATATACTGCCAAAACACCTGCATTACACTAGAGCAGTGAACAAAATAACTGCAGTTGTTTCAAAAATGCATAAATTTAATGGTTAAGAAGTTTAGATCTAATATCCATACCTTTACAGTTGAACAGCTTCCTCCATTTGTATCCACAGTGTTTCTGTTGGCATGCAGCTGAGGTGCAGCTAACTCCGCAAGCCACCCTGTACATACCCCTTTCCGTGAGACTGGTCGAGTGGGACAGGCGGCGAACTCCACAATACTAAATACAAAACTCAGTTTCCCTGGCTGATATAAGTTTGAACTGGAAAGACAAAAGTATTAATAAATAAAATTAAACAAACAAACAAAAAACACCCCCAAAAAAACCCAAAGCCCAGAAAACCCCAAACCCCAAACAAAATAACCCCTCAACCCAAACCCCAAAACAAAAACAACAAACAACCCTGAGAGACAGCTGTACAACCTTACAGCAGGTCAATCTGTAGTCTAAACCACATTAACTGAATCAAGATTCTCAGTATTCAGTGTGATATTTATCTATAGCTAGAAAAATCCTTAATATTGGACTCAGATGCCAGTACCTAGAGAATCCAAATTCCTACCAGATTCACATGTGTGTGAGCTTGCTGTTAAAAACACCAACGTCTTTCCAGACATTCAAAAACAGTGTTGTCTGAAAAAGTCAAAACACCATGGGATTTTTTGCAACAGGTATACAATCACTTTATCATCAGGTTTTAGCCTTCATTTCTCTCTTTCTTCTTTATAATATGCACACATATATCTGAGTAAAAAAAGCATACCTCAATTATCAAGGAGATACAACTTGAATACTTAATTACCTTGATGCTGAATAAGATCTGGCTTGTAATTTAGGAAGATGTTCTGAAAAATTAAAAAAAAGCAGCACCACTTATTACTTGATTCCCCTGAATGCAAATGTCATATAATAAGAGTTTACAGTGCACCACAGCACAAGCACACTATAATTTAACTGTAATTTTACTCTATTAACATTCAGTGTTTGTGGTTCAGAAATAAGCTATTAAGACCTGAACTCTATTTTGAATTATTTTTAAACTTCATGGAGCATGTTAGAGAGCCTATAAAAATGAGGCCGCAATAGTTAATTAATGCGGTTCTTGGTCAAGTAAAAACAACTGTAAGGTGCACAGAAGAGATGCCAGGAGCTGGTGGATATGTTGAAGCTTGAAATTTAATTTTGCCCACTTACCATCTATGAGCTCAAAAGCTATCAGAATAGGAATTGTTTCATTGAAAGTTTCCTATATAGAATGTCCTAGAAACAGATGTGCCAGTTCAATTTTAAATCAATGTGAGTACGTAAGCAAATTTTTGAAATCACAGCTAAAAACCCAACAGAGACAGGATTTTATTTGACACTTTTTCAATGAGAAGTCCACTCCATATATCGCACATCACATTTTTATCTACATATGTGCATATACAGCAAAGGTCAGACTCACTGATGCCTTCAAAAGAATGACTTGCATGCAGACTGCAAACAGCTGAGGATAAGGGTATACTGAAAGGAGACAGATATATCACTAAGTAAACAGTGTGGTGGGGACAGTAAGTGAGCAATACCAGAAAAAAAATGGCATAGCAAATGCCAGAAAACACAGTAGAGTAACAGGGTAACCTACAGTTTAACTGCTTTTTAGTTGGTTTTCTACATGTACCACCCCTTTGCAGATGTTCCAACCAGTACATGGACACCCTGACATATTTTAAAGATGCTCTGCTACATAACATAGTTGCAAATCAGAGTGAAGAAAAGCTAGTTCAGTAAAATTACTTAAAGGTGACTTTAAGACCATTCAGCACATTACTTCCCTGGGGGAACACATTTCAAGAACTTGGAACATTTCCTTTTGTTCAGCTCAGTTGCTACAGCACATTCCATACCACCTTTGGAAAGCAAAGTAGTTTTGCTTTCACTATGAAGATTCATGTGTTTGTATAAAGTGGAGCAGAGCTTGTATGTATTTTTTTTTTAATCCCCACAGTGTACTAAGAAGGAGAGATTTAGGGTAGGTGTGCAGAAGGCGACTGTAAGAAATAAAAAGCCTTTTTTCGTTTGTTTGCTTCATATAATGCAACATGTTAAGAAATTCTGTTGGCCATCTGGAAAATAACTGTCATTTTATTTGATGTATTTGAGATGGTTACAGTTCGAATCTCATTCAATCTCAATATTTTATATAAGGAATGCAATGAGCATGCTGAACATTACATACATACCAACACACTAGGAAAAGCTCTCTGTTTTAACAGGTAAAAGTGCAAGAAAAGAACATGTAGGCAGGGACATCCGGACTTGTAAAAACATTTCTTTTTAATTGTAATGAGTTGATGAACTGTTTCTTAAAGACCCTAGTCCTGCAAACACCTTATGCTTATTTTTTCTGTACAGGAGCAACCCAGAGTCAATTGAAGCATAGGTATGCACCCAACTGTTCCCAGAATGAAGGCCAAAGACTAAAAAGAGAAAAACAGAGCTTTGCTCCCCAAGAGTAGTTTTGGTTTAATCACTATGAATACTATAATATTTCTAAAGCAGTTAACTGAACAGTTATTCCGCTTTCTTGGAAAATTGAACATTTAGTCTGATGCATTTTCAGAAACTGAATCTAATTAAATCTAAATTGTTCACTTACCAATTAACAGGTTAAGCGAAGGCTTGCAGCTTGGAAAAGCATGTAGTAAATCCAGCAAACAAACATTGGGATCTCTAATAAAGCGTGTGTAATCAGAGGCTCCTTGTCTGCTGCAAAGCTCTTGAAGCCTCCGTTTTTCTCCCACATTACTCGTACATTCTACAAGAGCTCGCAAAAATGCCTGGGGGGAAGAAAATGAAAGTAAAGGGTAAAAATACTTGTGCAGTTGGGAAAATGGTAACAAACTGGGAAAAACTTGGGATGTCTGGGAACAGGAAACAGTCACCTGACAGGTTAGCGGATAACACAATTTACTTCCCAATGCACACTTTCACCTACTATGAAAAATTTACAAGCTAGCAGGTCAGAAAAATCTTACTTAACCTAAGGCAGGGAAGGGACAAACAGTCACAACCCATTCCCTGAAAAAACCCCCACAAATTTATGAAAGGCTCTCTTATTTATGTATTTGCACTTTAGTTATGTAAACAGCCCCACAATACAAATTAATTCTAGGCAAAACACTACTTGCTAACTTACAGAAGCCAGGAAAGGAATAAAAAAAGGCTTTGGAAAGGTATTACTGTAAATAAAGCATGGTATTTAATGAGTCATGTAAATATTGCTGTGGTGTTTTATTCCATATTTTATGCCTACATAATGGTACTGCAAGCTTTTCTTAAGGGAAAATTAAACTGAGCATTGCAAGATAAAGTAAAAATCAGATGTAAAGTGTTATAGGTTTTTTTCCAAAAGCAAAGTGGGAACAAACACAGTGCGTAAAAGAAGAGCGATCCAAAACCCCAAGTGCAATCAGACAATGTATTCTACACAAAAGAATACTTGGAAAGTAATTTGAGTGTACTCAAACACTGAACTTTCAGACAACAGTTTTGAGTACAGAGTTACATAAAGCACACTCTACACGGAACAGGTAATAAAGCAGACTGTTATAAAAACTAGCCTGTGTGATATTCCCCAGCAAGCACTCTCTGCCTATTCTTACAGTCAAGACAAATTTTCCAAATTGTTAAATGCAGTCTTAAAAAGGTTGAAACAATTGGAAGATTCTCTTCTCTTCTGCTGCAAAATCCACTAAATTGAGTGAAAAGGTCCTTCCAAAAACTGATTTTCCCCAGAGACCAAACCAACACAACTGTTTAGCTTTATCCTTCATCCAAAGTTACCTTTACAACGTGTTTTGACAGTATCAGAAATACACATGCATTTCCACTTGCAAGCTTCATTTTTTGGTAGGCACAGAATGAAAAGAAAATAACAGTCACACGTCATGAGAACAAATACTATATAAGCAAAAATATTTCTTCGAATTCTGCCAGGCTGGTGAAATGCTAAAGAAAAGCTTTATAATAATTTAAAAGGCATTATGGTATGTTTGCGTAGAGCAACATGTGCATTTTCAGCAACAAAACTTGACAGATACAGCTCCCTCTGATTAGAAAGAATGATTTCTCTAAAACGCCTATGGGGCCAGCCTCAGTCAGCCCTTCAGTTATTTGACACCAAGCATCTAATACTCTTCTGTTTATGTCCAGACTACTTATGAATCAAGATACTGCAGAACAGGAATAGAGATTTCAGTATCTCATAGTCTGCCAGATAAAGTAACAGAAGTGAAATTTCTCAGAATGAAGTACAAACAGTAGCATACAAACTGACAACCCTTATTCACCAAGAAACCTGGTAACTGCACATGAAGCAAGTACAGAGCTGTAAAAGCCCACACAGCATAGAATTACTAAGGATTTATCTTTAAGAAAGCAAACACATAAACACCTTTTTGGGAGTTGCCCTTATTTCCAAACACCAGGTTAGAATGAATTTCAGAGTGCTTCTTTCAGGGATGTGCTGTGGACGAGCTGCTCCTAGTTCAGTGGGAGAAAAACAAAATGTGCATCTATTAACATCCAAAACTGGCATCACAGAGTTCTTGTTCCTTCAAGAAACACAAGAGAGCTAAATTGCATTCAATTCTGTAGGTTTATGCCCCATCCAGTTAGTGAAAATTATAAACTACACAGCAAGACAGTTTACCAATGAAGTATCAATAATAATTTTCCAATAAAAAGTCAAAATTTACTGGGAAAGCAGAAAACAAAAGGAGGAGTACAATATATCAGTGTTCAGATAAATTTCACTGCTAAATCACTCAAGGCTGTCTTAGCACTTTCTACCTTGAGGAAATTCAGAAGAAGGCTTACTAAAGAAAGGAACATCCACATTTTTTCCCCTCCATCAATAAGCACTCCTGAAAATTGGAACATGCTGAGGTTTTCGAACGATCTAACCAAAGGTGTATGCAGCCAGTTCCATGCTGGAGCTTCTGAGGGTTCCAAGAACCCCAGCAGACCCCAGGGGTTTCTGTACAAGCAAATAATCCATCCTGTACTCTGAACAGGTTCTATTTCTGAGAATTAGGTACACTGACATCCCATCTATCCCTGTATGGAATGAGCTAGGGTGTAGCTTGGCTTATTAGCCTCATGCCACTTCATGCTAAAGTGGCTATTCTAAATTAATCCCAAAACCAATCTAAGAGCATTTATGTGACAAAACACCTTTAATTAATAAGCTCTGCAGGTTTGAAATTGCTGGCATTTCTCTTTACAATGTATCTCAGATTTGACATCCAGCTACTGGATTCTTACTGTGTTTTTTCCATGCTCAAGAGCCCTTTAATACTACAGAATTTTCACTCCAAGAATATATGTACATAACTTGCCAAATTATCTCTTTGTATCAGCATTACCTGACTGTACCCTTGCTACAAAGAACAAATTTTACTTTCAGAAGAAGACTGGCATAAATAAAACGCAGGAAAGAAGCATCCACTTTCACATTTATATAAACTTTTTTTCCTTGAACATGCAAATAGCATGTTATAAGAAGTCTTAATCCTCTTCCTAGGATGCTCTTCAAATTCAAATCCAATATTTGAACAACAGACTTTGTACCAGACTGCAAATAATTTCTGTTTTGTCCTCTCAGTTGATTGCATCTACTTCATCAAAGAACTGACAGACTGAACAAAGAGAGGTTGTGAACAAAATTCAGTGGAATTCCTGGTAAATCTTGAAGATACAGCAGTCACAGCCTGCTGTTCAGGCTCTTCTCCCAGGTTTTTCAGTTCTTTACATTCAGTAAACCCACAACCATAATAGTTTGTAGCAACTGTTACAAATTCCTCAGAATCTTAATGCAGTTAAGAGACAGCCATCTCAAAAGGAAAGCTACACTGCAACCCTGCTAGGAGTTGTGAAACTACATTATAGAGATGAATTATTTGGCACAGAATGACAACAAGTAATTAAGTTACAGTAACTTAATGAGTCTCTGCTCACCAGCAAAGCTCCAGGGGAATTAATTTCTGTTTGATCCTAAACCATTTAACTTCATAACTGCAGTGCATGAAAGTCAGTGCATCCTCTCTTTTTAACACATCCCTGTGACTTCCAACATGCCTCCCTGAAGTGACCGCTGTGTCCCAATACTAAAGCTAAAACCATTCAAAACTATGTATAATGACTATGACTAACACAGGAGTATCTGTTCATGACCAGTGCATCACACAATACCTTTCTTTTTAGTGCCCTGCTTAACCTTTACACAAACGAAGTACTCTCCTTTTTCAGAAAGTTCCAAGATGCGAAGAAGTTCTTCTACCTCACTGACATTATTGGGACACATCACACAGAAGGCATCTCCTGGTTGGTAGTCAAGGACTGTATCCTGTTTTAAAATATAAGATAATTTCTATTAACCTGAATCACAAACCAATACCAATAGCATTCCCATTCCTATCAACAATCTCACTATTGCAGTCACATAAAGTCACCTGTTCTTTTACTCTTACAAGCCCTTCGCTGCTTGGAGCACACGTTGGAGCACAAATACTCATGTTTTCTTTTCAGGTTTAACCTTACTAAATAAAAAAATCTTTCCTTATTTGGTTTAAATATTTGGACACTCTTCAATAAGAACTGCTGGGCAGCCTAAACAGACAGAAAATAAGTATGTATTAAGAGGATGTCTTATATAATCAGCCCAGATCACAGGTTCTTGTGTGCAACTGCTGAAAGCCTAGTCAAACTTCTGCTGTTACAGGAATATACAGAATTGTAATTGAATCATTATATTTCTCGTATGCAGAAAAAGTTTCCTGCATGCACGGACTGTTGAGAATGCTAGTGAAAAAAAGACCCAAAACATTCAGATTTTCAGTGGGTGCTGATGACAGAATACATGTATACACACAAATAAATGCAAAACCCAATGTAATCTCAGAGACTCAGTTGCTCAAAACTTAATAGACTCTACTTATCACTGGGATTTAAAGATGACCTATGGATACTGACACAGATGAGGCTGAGTCCAATAAAAGTTACTGCCAAAATCACAAAATCCCAAAAGCATTATTCTCCAAATTTGGAAAAATCGCTTAAAGGCAACATATTTTCCTTTTAAATGTTTCTTGTAAAGTAATATTGAGCATTCTCTGCCTTTCATCTTTAGACCAGTATACAAAATATTATCTTACCTGAATAATCTAAACCAGATTTTGCACCTAAGGTAACAAGAGATTGACAGTTTGAACAGTATGGTAGCAAGTCAGAGCAAATGAATGCCAGAGGCAGAAGCAGTGCTCAAGAGCTAATAATTCTTATCACTTGATCGTATTAATCAAATTATTACCTATCACAAGGTATAGTCACAATTTCCTACACAGTTCCTGAATATTCCATGAATTGTATATTCATGAAAGATTATTAATTTTCAATATTCCCTGCCTGCCATTCTTCCCTGCAAATTCTCTTCAAAAAGGTACTTCAGTCAGCACAACATCCATGGACCAGCAAAGAAATCAACATTTTATTTCTGTTTTGACTTCCGCATAGTCATACCTTTCAGTGAATAAATCAAGCTTTGCATTTGCAAAATGGATCAGCTTCAGATGACATCCTGTGTATGACGAATTAGGGTTTTTAACTTTTCAACAGTCTAGTAAATATACTTCCCCCAGCTATTATTACATAACACACATGCTTTTCACCCTTTATTTTTACCCACTAAAGAAAAAGCCATCACAAACTTACTGCAATATCAAGTTCTAAGAGTAATGCTGTTTTTACTGCATCTTCTCTAGTGAGCTGGACTGCTTTTGTAACTGGCACTTCAAAGACTGTTCCCTCTGAAATGAGTGAGGACAAACGTGGATTCTGAAAAAAAAGGACATGAAAACTTACACTAAAAATGCAAAAGCTGAATGACATCTTATTATGACTTACAGGAATCACTGTTGCCACTTTTTTTTTGTCACAATCTTAAAAAAACAATTCAGAACAATAAGGAAAAACATGAATATTATACATACATACAGTGTCTTGCTCTACCTTTCTAAAAATCATACCCAAGCAGTAACAGGCATATATTCAATTATAAAATGTCAGTAGGCTTGAAAAGCATAATGGGCCTAAACTACTATAAAATGCAGCTTGCTATTCCTTTTTCAAGAGTTGCTTTGAAAACAGCCAAATTAGAGAATGGCATTTATGTTAAAATGCTGAGAACTCCCACCTACTTGAAGGATTAGTAGGTGTACAGAACAGACCTAAGGAGTAAGAACAGAATTTATTTAAAAATATCATTGCAGATGTACGGTTTAAGACTTCAGGGAGTAGATGGAGCTATTATTATAGACAATTTATAAAAGGATTTTTTAAAACCTCTGTTAAGTTTAGAGGTAATCAGCAAACCCCACACTATGAAACAGCATCATGTTATGCTGCATTTCTACACAGGTGAAAATGTGCCCAAATGGTTGCAGATGGGCATCGAGAATAATCCCAGATCACCTCTGTCAAAGGCTGTCAGCTGAAGATTAGGCTACACTCCTCATTTCTCCATCACTACTGCCAGCAAACTTCATCTGAGTTACAGACAAAAATGAAGAGGTAGAAGAGATACCAAATGTCCATAACAATACCCTCATATGGAAAGGAATTATTCTACCAGTAAGAGAGTATTTGTTAATCTGAACATTTCCTACTAACAAAAAAAGAAGGCCCGAAAATGACTTGAGACCAACAATTGGAAGTTTTATTACTCTTTAAAAATGTGACATGGTGAATAGCAGCTCGGGCCATATCAAGTTATTGTGCATCAGCTGTCCACATTCATGTTCCCTGCAAGTCAAGTTCAAGGCCCAGTGAGAGAAAGATTTAAGCTACATTGTATTGTCTTACACTTGCCATAAAGGCTTAAGATGCAGACCCCTACTGCTTGGCTACTAATAAGCAGCAGCTTGTTAATTCAATCCTGAGACTCAACTACCCAGGACATAGATCATATAAGCGACTAAAGAGACCGTGTACACAGCCTTCTTTAAATAGCAGGGTATCTCTGTTTTGGGTTTTTTTTCAAGCCAATTTCAGATCTACTTAGCAAAAAATACCCACAGTTTTTACAATGTGACATACTGGAAAAGGACATGAACTGTTGTCATGGTTTAAACTCAGTGGCAACCCAGAATCACGTAGCCGCTCGCTCACTCCCCCTCTTCCTCCCCACGCTCCCGGAGGGATGGGGAGGAAAATCAAAAGAATGTAACTCCCACGGGTTAAGATAAGAACAGTCCAGTAACTAAGCTATTAATACAAACCACTACTGCTACCACCAATAATAATAATGATAAGGGAAATAACAAGGGAAGAGAATACAACTGCTCACCACCTGCCAACCGATACCCAGCCTGACCGAGCAGTGATCTAGCCCTTCCGGGTAACTGCCCCCAGCATATATACTGGGCATGATGTGCTGTGGTATGGAATACCCTTTTGGCTAATTTGGGTCAGGTGTTCGGTCTCTGCTTCCTCCCGGCTTCCCCTCCTCCCTGGCAGAGCATGAGACTCACAAAGTCCTTGGTCAGACTAAATATGACTTAGCTAGAACTAAAAACATCGGTGTTATCAGTGCTGTTCCCAGGCTGAAAGTCAAAACCACAGGACTGCACCAGCTGCTAAGAAAGAGGAAAATAACTGCTACTGCTGAACCCACGACAACTGTGTCATACTTGTAAAACAGTACTTGACTCTACATGGCACCTACTCATTTGAAAAGGTCTAGCCAGCTATGTCAAAAATGGTGCCAAAGGAAAACTCTAAGTTACTCTGCTCTTGCAGGGGGGTTGGACTAGATGGTCTTTTGAGGTCACTTCCAACGCTTGGGATGCTGTGTGATTCTGTGTGTGTGTGATTTGATTCTTCCCAAGACTCAAGACACCCACCCAGTTTTATACTGGAAATTTGGACTATAATCTTTAACCTGTACACTGTATTAGAGATTACTAGATTCAGCTTTTTCAATCTGCTGCTTGAAAGCAGTATTTACTTATTTTTCTCTATTTACAAAAAAGTTAAGGCACCAATATTAGAACCTGATCACCTGCAATTCAAAAACCTCCTGTGTTCAGGGATTTAACTCCTTTATATAGGAATCCACTTGTTCTTTTGAGCCATATGTAGCAGTATATACACTCATGCTCTTACCACAGCTGGAGGCTTCCCTCATTCAAAACCAAGCCCTTACCTCACCATGGGTGTCCTGAAACTGCACTTCTATATATTCCGGTGACAAGGCAGGAATATTAAGAGCAGACTCAGAGATAGGAGGGACAGAATGAACAAGTGAAGCTTCAGTGTCTCTATTTGAAGCCACAAGGCTGATGTCAACCAGTTTCTGTGAAAAAACATCAGAGCTCTTCACTCCTTCGTCTTCTAGCTTTAAGTTCTGTACTTCGGAGCTTAAGTTTAGTTCACGCCCAACATGTGGGGCTGCAGAGAGAGAGTTTGAAACGGCATCAACAGCACTGTTCATGCCTTCTCTTTCTTTCTGCAATAGAAATACTTCCTTGAGAGCATGCCAAAGTCCATCAATCCAAGGATCAACCACTAATTCCAAACTGGGAAGGAAGGAAGAAAAACAAAAAAGAAAAGAGAAAGGAATGGATGAATTATTGTGATTTACTGGAATATTAATTTACAAATAATGAAAATAACACAAAACCTAAAACCACTATTTTCAATTTTTAATATAGCTCTGAAGCAGTTATCAAGATGACCTTTTTGTTAAAAACCTATTTTTTAGTTGTTACAACTGTCTAAATTTATGGAGTCTAAAGTGTGTAACAGCCTTGCTGTTCTAGTTTTTCATTTTTATTTTCTTATGCTGAACTTTATGACAGGAAGTTAAAGGGATGGTAGCAAAATATGCAACTTTTCATTGTGCGACAGCAACATCAAAAGCTTATACTAACGGTCTATTTATAGTAGTTTAGAATGCAACATATAAGTTTTATGGTTATGGCAATGTTTGTGTTCAACTGTCTTGCAACACCATGCGCAGAGCTGATATAATCTCCAGTTCAAAATAAATAAACCAAGACTGCAGCCTACTGGCCAGAAAGAGCAACAGAACTGGAAGGGAGCTCTTTTCTCACATAATTCCTCTACACCAATAAACTCCCTACCCCCATTTTTCATAATTCCTCTACAGTGATAAAAAACAAACAAGCCTCATCCCACCAAAACAGAAAGAAAAAAGGGGAGGGAAAATATTTTATGGAAGAGAGAGAGAAATTAAATAAACGCTGTAGGGTTTGCCTAAAGTAGCTCTACTGCAAGATGTGAGCTTGGATTAAAGTCTGATGTGTACGTAGAAAGACATCCCATTACCAGCACCGCACATTCTGGAAACTGCATTTATTTCTATTTGCTTCAGTAAACAGACAACATTTTTAAATCCCTTCACTTATTCTGAATTACCTAATTTCTAGAACTGCTAAATACACCCTGTTTTTCCATAGAGTACATCTGTTCACTCACACTTTAAAAACTGAGTTTTATTTAATGGCAATTGAGATTGAAAAGGCATACTGTGTTCAGACAGGACTTGTTCTCATGAGGTGCTGAATTTTCAGGTTCAGCTGATTTCAAGGACTTAAGAACATTTAGCCAAATTCACATGTAATTATTGCATCTTGATGAAATAAAATACAAACTCATTCAGTTCTTACCCTACACAATCATCTGCTAATCCTGTGTCATAGAAGTGCCAGGCTCCAAGTTCTTGAAGTCGTCGGTCTACCGTCTTTCCACCATTACAGAAGAACGTATACTCTGAATCTCCCAGACCTAGCATATTCAAGGAAAGAGGAATCATGTCAATCAGCCAGCCCCCCAGGCTACACAGGCAAAAGATCTGCAAAGACAACACAGGGTTTTCCTGTAGACAGACAAAAGAATCTGATATAGCAAAGTGTCCAGTACCAGGACACTTTTATGACATCTGAAAAAAAATTCTGCTTGTCCTAAACTAGAGCTGAAAAAGTTTCTCCTTCACAGATGTAAGACACAGAATTTCTGTGAAAACATTTTGTTTTCAGTATCTCATATTTCACAAAAAAAAAAACCACAAAACTGCTATTACAGGAAAAATGTAAGAAGTTGAATTAATTAAAAAGAGTGAAAATGATGAACTGTATGTGAATTACCAAACTAAACTATCTCACCTTCAGATTAAAATTCTTAATATGTGTCAGTAATGTAACGGAGAGACTATTTGAAGAAATAGTGGAAAAAGATTGGAAAAAGATTTGAAAATATTGGAACCTGGAAAAAAAAAATCAAATATATAAGTGATTTAAAACAGTATGAAATAAGAAATGTAGAAAAAGGGAATCTGGTCCAACATCCTCCTCCCAGAAATGAGAGATTTCTTTGTAGATCTCATTTTCACTGAACTAGCTTTTCTGCCCTTTAACAATCATGAAGATGTTCTGTTAGAAGATGCTCTTTGTTATGAATTAAACAGTCTGTGCATCAGGAGGTGTGTTCACGGAGGACCACTGACTCACCCTAAAAGTGATCAACCACACATACCTCATCCTTAACAGATGCTTATCTAACAATCCCAAAGACCACTGGTAGTCCTCACAAAGTCTGTAAGTAATCCAGAACAGCACTCTTTCACTATCCTATCACAATTTTTCACAGCCTGACCCTTTCTTGTGTCCAGTTTCAAACCACTAGATCCTTATTATTCCCACCCAACAATGGATGATTCCTTTCTTCTTTATAACAGCCTTTTTTTAATTAAAAAATACTTCTGTTCCCTCTCAAGTACAGTACTTACAGCAAACATACCATGGGATAAGATGAAATGGACACCATGAATGTATTTTAAGACTGGTTAACTTTTTAGACTAAAATCACAAAACATGTTGTAAGTTAGATCCTATAATATCTGTTACAACAAAAATTAGTATTAATACAATGCTTATCTTTGTATATGCATGGGTATATAAGCATTTAGTCAGCAATGAAAAATCTGGTAATTTCAAAAACTCTAACATGTAACTAGGCAATAGCATAACAACTTCTCAAAATGTTACATGACTAGAATGCATATATTTCAGATTTCCACGTTATATATCCACTAGAAATTTCCTTCTACTGGGTACTTCTGTCACTAGAAACCTAGAAGTTTCCTCACTCCAACCTATCTTGTCAAGCAAAAATAACCTAGGTTCAAATAGAAGTTTCTTAAAATACAACCTGAAAACAACAAACTGAAGTTACCATCAACTCATGATGTATCAGATGTATTTTGTCAAATCTGTATTTTGCACATTAGTCTAACCTGAAGGTACATTCTTCCTATTGACAAGTATGACAATGTTTTTAAAATATATTGCAAATTTAAAGGGATGGGATGATCTTACAACCTCACTTTTAAGGACATTTTATAATTCCTTTCCCTGTGTATAGAAAAATGCCCTATTATTAGAAAAATCAAGTAAACCCATCTAGTCCATAGACACTTGACATGAAATCAAACAATTCTAGATAGTCATGTTGTTTATACAAAGAAAATGAAACTATAAAAAATGAAATTGATAGCTTACAATCAGATAATTTCTGTGATGCTTTTTCTTTACTGCTCATAGAGAACATTACACACACACAAAAAAACTCCTGTTCATATTATAAAAATAAATGTTTTATCAGCACTTAAAAAACCCCAAACAATCTATTCACAAGTAAAGAAATACAAAAATTATTCACTGACAGACAAATGCTGCAATAACACACAAAGTACCAGATCACCTAGCAATCCATACTGGAGATGTGAGAAATGATCAGGTGGCAATGTCGTGTCTTGAATTTTCTTTACAAGCTTGCGGGCAGTGTCTGGTGGGTCTCCAGTACCAGTAGTGGAAATAACAATAACTACCGGATCCTTTTCTGTTTCCAGGTTATACTACAAGTAATAGAACAAGTAAGTTACAAGGTGACCTTTGATACCTATTTGTAGCCTTAGATATTACCTGTCACCCTTTCTTTGCACAAAGTTACACAGAAAAATGCTTAATCTCAACTGTATTAAACCACAGAAAGTCTTTCATGTAATTTTGGGGATACAATTTATAATCTCAGTGGTGTTTTCAAGACAAGATTGGGTAAAACCCTGATGAATTTACTCTGACCGTAGCTGACCCTGCTGCGAGATGACCATGAAGTCCTTCCAACCTGAATTAACCTATGATCCCAACACACAAATTCCAAAGGGCAGCATTTTGAGCAGGCTAGTCCACATGCAAAGAATATTTCACAACTGCACTCAGGCAGCTTAAATACATAATTCCTAGAGTATTTGCTTTGTCAAGTGGAAAAAATATTTTTCTACATACAGTCACAATCACATAGTGAGCCATAATCCCAATAAATTCACACAGATAGCGGGCGTGTGGCCATACAAACTGAAGGGATCATTTCCAAATTCCATTAGGGATCACTTCCATATTACATCTGTCCTGGCCATAAGAAAACCAAACCAAACCAAACCCAAAAGAAAACCCACAAACTACGCTTTGGGTGAACTAAAGTAGCTCTGAACAGTGTTCTGTGAACTGTGAACTGTGTTCTACAGTCTAATTCATTTTGGCCCCACTCCTCTGACCCAAATTCTTTTCTCTTCCCTTTGCTAATACCAATCTTCCACATTTCCCACAGTTTTATGGGAGCTTCTCCCATTATATCAGGTCAAGAACTGCCTATACTTGGGATTGTGTGACAGTTCAGTAAATTCAGACCTCATGGAATAATTACTATTTCTCAAGTAAAAATCATTCTGTTTCTTTGATTATTCCATCTTTCAATGGATAGCAGGCTGCAGCACTGAGCACTGTGCTAGCATGCTGTCTGTCAGGTCACCCATACAACATGCCCTTTCACAGCACCTCTGCAGGTTATGGGTTTTGAATCAACAGCTAGTGACCTATGTGAAACACAGCTCCAGAGAATTACAGACACCTTGTTTGGGAGTGACCTCTGGATGTCATCTAGTCCCACCCCATGCTCCAGTGGGACTAACTGCCAAAACTGCATTATGTCAGCTGTGACTGATTGAATTCCAAAAACTTCTAAGGGCAGAGATTTCACTTTCTGGCAGCCTTTTCCAACCAGAAATTCTCCACTACTGTGAAATCTGAGTTTATCAGGCTGCACTCAGTGGATTTTGCATCCTGTTGTACAGTCTTCTGCTGCCAAGAAGAATTTGGCTCAAGCAAGCTGCTATTAGGTCACTCCTTATCCTCCTTTTTGCCATAATAAGTAACCTAAGCTCTTTTTACTGCTCTCTGTAGGTTTCATTTTGAACTTTCTCCCAGTATTCCAAGTTTAACAAAAGTCCTGTTAGGAGAAAATATAAATAAAGACTACAAGAGATGCTATGTTTCATTTCAAGCAGAAGTCAAATGCAGAAGAAATAGAAGAACATAAGGAGAAACTTCACCTTCCCTACTCGGGACATAAGTCTCTTCCTAACACTTTGCTCCATACTTAGTAAACATTAATTCAAAAGCAGATGTCCAGCTACCTACCATGTAGTGCATAACCACGAAAGCAACTTGCTAAAAGGAAACTTAGTTTTATAAGCTTCTCACATTTTCAAGTGCATGAAAAAAACAGGTGTTATTTTTTGCTCCTACAAAATACCAGACTATCAAGTTCTGTTTGGTTGGTTTGGGGTTTTTCTTTTAAATGCTTTTGTTTGAAGACATATAGTTGAAAGTACTTTGTGAAGGAAATTACATTCTATATTGCTTTAGCTACAGACAGATGCTAACTGTTTTCAGATCCTTATCCCTGGAAAATAGTAAATAATAAAAAGTCACATCCTTGCTTCAGCCAAGCTTTTAATTTTTTTTTCTAGAATATAACTCGAATGTATCCACTGTGAGCTGGAGTGAGTGCATATGCTAAGTAACTCAAGAAGACCCTAAAAATGCTCAGGGTCATGCTGGAGCTCAGTTAACAGGACCTCAATGCAACACAAAAAAAGGGGGAAAAAAGTGGCATTCCTAAGAACAGGAGAGCTGACCAGTACAATACAGAATTTGTTTGCATATATAAATAGTTTTCAAGAACTCACTGTGCTGTTATTGAATAAGAGCTCAAAGATATATTCATTTACTGTTCTAATAACAGAAATCACAATAAAGATGTACCTTTGGCAGAACGATATTAAATGTCTGTGAGTATTGGTCCAAATTAATGATTCATAAGAAACTAAAAATTTAAAACTAGATGGTATTTTAGGTGGGTGTATGTGGTCAGCCTTCATGATTATCAACACCCACCACCTGAGCACATGAAGGAAAATGCAGCTCTTAAATACCTTTCTTTCAAAACAGCATGGAGTATCTCACCTTGTCCATTTCACTCATACAGTGCATATCAGCTTCAAATCCATGGGCACCTGCCTGCTGCCATATTTCCTCAGCTATGGCTTTTGCCTGCCCCTTTTGTGTTGCATAGAGGAGCAAAAACCTCCTTCTTAAACCACAGCACATTTCCCAAAACAGAGTTGGCTTGGTTTTGTTTTTCTTTTAAAGACACTGCAGGAGAAAAAAAAGAAGGGGAAAAAGTTAATTTATTACATGCAGAACAGCAAGATTTTGCTTCGCTTATTAAATTAAAAAGACGTACTTTCAAGGATAACAGTATCTGTGTTTAACTTGGAAATGAGGTGTCTGCTCTGAAGAGGCTCCATTTCTCATTACCAAGCTTTGCAGGCCATGTTGCAAAGGACTCCTGGTATTGGTCATATGCTCTGTACTGCCTCAGTGTTGCAGTCATATTACAATATCCCTCTATTGTATTGTTATTGTAAACAATACAATAGAGAAACTAGTTTCATGAAAATATATACTACTTTTATTATGCAAGTTACATTTCCACTTTAAAATCAGTGATTGCTTTAGTTACCTTTTTGATATGTATTTGAAAACAAAACAACATACAGACCTGTTGATATCAAACTACACTGCCTGAGGAAAAAAACATTAAAATTCTCAGGTTCTTCCTTTCTTAAATCAGTGTTTTCTGCCTGAATGTGTTTATATTTCATTGCCCACGATGTCTACACCTTAGAACACAAACACGGGTTTTCATTTCATATTTCAAAAAGGAGCTTCTTCTATAAGTGCAACTACAGCATTGACTGCTTGGGCTTTTCCCTCCTAAAAATAAGAAAACATCTTAGAGAAATCTGCTGTAGTGTACAATGCCACTCCCTCACAGTCCTGCAAGCAGCAGCGATGAATGACATGTACATCCATCACCATTCACCTGTCCCATAAAAGTTCAAATGAGAGAAGCTTTATTTCATTATTTTGACACAGACAGAACACAACAGATCAAGGACAACTTCAAGAAGCAGTGAATAAGGAGAGACAAGCAGAATGTCTCTAATGCATATATTACAAACTAATCTTCCGTCTATTTTGTCGGTCCTAGAGGGCTGCAGTAGAACTCAAACACACAGAATTACAACTGATTTTCAGTTCCAAACTTGAGATTTTTTTTCATACGTCCAGGCCAAGTTTGCTGTACTCCACCTACTGCTCCCACAAAGATTCAACTACAAAAAGCTTTCAGTGTCCAAACCACACTCAGTGATTTATGGAAACCTGTGGAAAAGTGATTTGAGGTATATCTTTTTCTTGTTTCTTTCAAGGGAAAACAGGTGTGGTGAAACTAAGTGACAGGTTCTTAAGACTACAGTGCCTGCACCATACATGAATTCCACAAAATATGTAATTAACACAAAAATGTAAGGCTTTTGTTGTACTTTGTTCTAGCACATTTTCCATTAGAGTTTTCACTCTAAATTGATTACCTAAAAATATAAATAATTACCTTAACAGTTGTTTTAAATAAATTCATTTAAATAACCAGCATCATGCGTATATGTACATACATAGACAACGCATATGCTAAAACAATCCACAACCTTTTTCAGTCTCCTTTTCCAAAAGAAATACAAAGAAATTTGATGACACACAAATTACGATGATTCATATAAAATAATTTAAATACCCTCAGATCCCTGTAGTAATACAGATTTATCCTAGTCATATGCTATGTTTTCACTTCAATTGTTCTCTTGTCAGTACGTGGCATTGCCCAACTATAGATGGAGAAAAGCAAAAGATGAAGTGGCCTGTCATTACTACATTATTCCTTACACCTCAGAAAGGGAGGGAGACATCAATTTTCTACAGGGACCACACCACAGCGGAGAAGCCTTCTATACACAAAAAGCTGAGGGGCAAGCTGCCAACACTATTGCAAGGGGTTTACCAACAGACTTCAAACAAGAGTCAGCTTGGGAAAACATATAACAGAAGCATGAGAATTTGCAATGGTAGGGGGAGAGGAGAGAGCAACAAAAAGAACAACAGTCACAATGTGGTCTGACATGGATAGATGTTGCCCTGACAGTGCTATGACCTCTGCGTAGGCCAGACAGAGCAGCCCCTCATATAAGACACTGTGAGTTGCTTCCACTCCAGCTAGTACAGTAACAACAAACGGTGCAAAAACCAACTACCCACATCTTGGGTGCATGACTGTGAACTTGTGAAGAGCTTTCTCATTGGTGTGGGGATTAGTAGGTTGCATAGAGACACAAAAATCAGAGCAACCACATCTCCCACAGAAGGTGTGTGTAAACAAGAGAACCCATATGGCCAGAAGAGGGGCTCACGCTTGATATGTGCTCCTCCTGAGAGAGAAAACTGAGTGTATGTAACAGTAAGAACATATGCTTGTGGGAAGGGGGCAGGCCGCAATTAGAAAATCCTTAGAATTAGATAAAGAAGGGTGTTTAAATATTTGTAGGCATTTATTAACATTATGTACTTAGTACCATATCTGTTCCACTGTTGTTATTGATCTTGAATATATAGTTTAATTACCCAATTAAACAGCAGTTAAATTAACTTCCTGGCAGTTAATTACATCACCAATAGATCAATAAACTCCTTTGATCCTGATATGATCTAAACTACACAAGTTGAGGAGTTGCTGTTAGAGCACCTTCTGTCATCAACCAGAAAAGCTTCATGCACAAACTGATAAAGTGATGCCTGCTGGAAGAAAGGAAAATTACTCATGCCTACCTGCAGATGATCACAACTGAAAAGCAGGAGCACACTTGCACTCAGACGAATGTACCGCCCACATTGCTCTTGCTTTGCTCCACTCTTCAAAGATGATATGCTACTTCCACTTATGTGATAGAAGTTCAACTGAAATAAAGAGGGGAAAATGGTAATTCCCAACTATCAAGTTTTCTAGAGAGTCTCTCTAGCTTTAAAAGTATTACCACATCAGTGGCCTTTAACACGGTGATGTGCTGGAACTCGCATGTCAAAGAAACCCAAAACAATGTTTAGGCTATGAAAACAACCCAGGATTTGCTGGCTCAAACCAAGGCTTAACATGAAACTAAAGATGAAATTCCAAATTATAGCCTGTCTGATCCAGTACTCAGAAGTCAGAAAACTAAAAGTCTGCACAAGATTAGCAGAGATTCCATCAGCTCCGTTAAGTCAATAGAATGTACAAGCAAACATTCACTGAACCAGATGTGCTGGCCCTAGCAATTACACAGCTGTACTGTAAAGCCCAACCACCTACTTCATGTACCTGATCTGCCAAAAAAAAAAAAGTCAAACTGCATGGCCACAGAGTAGAAACACAAAAAACTCCACTAGATTTACATACTTCTGTATGGCTTCAAAAGGGGTTGTGGGACCATGCCTTCAGAGCCATGAAGCTATTCCCTTATCATTTTATTAAGTTAGCGACTTGCTCAGAATCACCTTCACTGTACAACCAAGACAAACACAAAAGCCCACAAAACCTTCAACGTAACCCGCATGTGACACCCTCCGCGACCCAGGGCTGACCTTCCACCCAGAAAAATTTGGCTGTACCAACCCCCTACGCAGGCGAAAAGCTGTCTCTGAAGGACAGCGATTTCCGTGAGTTAAAGCCAGCTACACACCGCCGGCGGCAGCAGCAGCAGCTACAGCCTCCCCAGCGAGCCGGTGCCTCCATCCCTCTTGGGGCGGGCCAAGTGTGACGGTGCACCTCGTCTGCCTCCCACCCGGCCCCGGCGGCCCCCAGAGCGCGCACCCGACAACCCACGGGGAACGGGAGTATTTGTACCACAGGTACACAGGCACAAATCCGACTCCGGAGCCGTCGCGCCACGCCAGACCTCCAGCGGCAGCGAGGAAGCGAATGCGGCGGACCGGCGTAATGCCGGGCGGTCAGGGACCCCCGGGAGAAAGCGGCTGCTGCCGGCGCCCGGAGGTAGCCGCCGGGAGAGCGCCGGAAGCTCCCGGCAGCCCCGGCACTTCCCGTCATGGCGGCGGAGGTGAGGAACACCGCTCTCCCGCGGCTCGGCCACCGGCACTGCCGGATGCCCTCTGCTGTGGAGTTGGGGGAGGAGAGCAGATAGAGAGCGACGCCCCGGCCCCGACCTCACCCGGCAGCAGTAGGCGCTGGGTTGGGAGGGATGCACCTCGACCCTGTCGGCGGGGGAGGGTTGGGACGGAGCGGTTGTGTCTGACACGTTCAGATACCGCCTTCCGGCTGCGAGCCCCCGTGGGCCCGCTCCCGTCGTGGGTACCGGCCGTGTGCCCCTCCGCTGCCCGGGATCCGAGGGTAAAAAGATCGGTTTTGGCGCTGTTCAGTTCCTGGGTAGCCGATTGTGTCGGACGCGGTCGGTGGTGTCCTAACTTAGGAGACACGGGGCAGAGATGCCCTGCAGCCTGTCACTCAGGTCTCACTCCCGGTACTGTCATCTTCTTTGCATTGCCTTGTGCACGTGGTCGTGGGAGAGGGATCTTGCCAGATGAGTCCAGCCACGAAACGTTGGGTGGTGGGGTTTGGTTTTTTTTGCTATATTTTATAATGACATTGGTGCTGTTTTCCAAACTGTATTTTTCTTCGTCTAGGTATCTTTTGAGACCCCACTTGATACACTATGGCTTTGATTAGCCAAAAAAGTTTCCAGTTTTATTCATCCAGCGCACCAGCAAGGAAGTCCATTTTGATGACCCTAAGCAAAAGGTTGAGCTTTATCAGTGGGCAGCGAAAGCCCCAAAGCTATAGCTCTGTAGCCATGAGGATGCTATGCTTCAAAGATAAATCTCAGTATATGTTTTGTAGAAAAAACCATGTAAAACTGCGGATACAGTCTCTTTCTGTTAATGAAACTGTGCACCTTTGTGGAGATACTGGGAGCAGTACTAAACCTAATAAAGTGTGGGTGGATGAACAGCACTTTCTCCAAAATTTGAACTGCCTTTGTACATCAAAAGAGATTTTTGATTTTCTCAGCTCTGTGGAAATCATGACTGATACTATGGCATCAGGAGCCCTGCAGAGGATTTCTGAAGTTGAGATGGATGACAGTGGTCTGAAAAACCCTGAAGGAGTGTTAGAGAATGAAGTTTTTAGGGCATTATGCTTCCAGTTTGAATGTGAGTCCTCAAAACTGTCGAACACTGGGCTGCTGAATGCATTTCAAGCTTTGATAAAACTGCGTATAGATCCACGGAGCATGCTCATGGTAAGCTTGCTTTCAGAGGCTGAGGAACGGCTTGGCAAAGGGCAGTTGACTGTTAAAAATCTCTGTGCTCTTGGGGAGAGTTTGCTTGAGTTGGAAGGCCCAAGTTCTGCGACACTGGAACAAATTGTGAACCACATGCAAGAAAAAGACATGGAGATGTGGACTCCTCTGGAAATAGTGATGGTTTATAAGATGCTGCAGGGGATTGTTGGGGAAGGGAAACAATACCAAGACTTGCTAAACAGGCTGAACAGTGTCACTTTAACCATAGTTTCCCAGCTAAGCCCAAAGTTCACAAGCATTATACTGAATTCACTGGTGGTCCTTCATCAGACTCGAGCAGTTCCCTTAGTCACAGCACTATGTAGACATTCTGTGAAGCATATTCCGTATTTCACAGGTGATGAACTGGTACATGTACTGGAGGCTTTCCTGTACTTTGGACATCGTGAACAAACTTTTACAGTGGCACTGGAAGCATATGTTCCCGAGTCCATCATTAACATGAAGCCTCAAACAGTCAGCAAAGTCATGAAGTATTGCTCCCAAAAGAGGATCCTTTCTAAGCCCATTTTCGATGCAGTAGCAGAAGATTTCATTTCTGATGCTGACAGATTTACCACTGAACAGATTGCTGAGTGTATTACGCCATTTGGGACATTAAACTATCTGCCTCCAAATGCTTCTTCCTTGTTCAGGAAGCTTGAAACCATACTGCATGCTCGCCTTCGTCACTTTCAGCCTCACACCTTACTGAACTTACTGCACTCGTGTGTCCTTATTCAACGTTATCCAGTAAATTTTCTGCCAAAAATATTTAGTCCCTATTTTCTGCAACAGCTTCAAGGTAAGAAGTAGTGTTTCTCTTGCCATGTTCTGTATTTCTTACTGCTGCATGGTGTGTTCCTTGTCAAGCACACATTTCTTACCACTGCCATCTGTCAAATCAACAATGACCTGGTTGAAGTGAATGGAGAGTAGTGATCGGGAGTCCAGAGAACATTGTTTCCTTGTGAGGTAAGGTAGAACCAAGTATGGACTTCTGTTGTCATCTCCACCTCTGTTCTTTCAGAATAAGAAGTTACATTCTTGCTTCAACTTGGTGTATTTCTCTTTTGTATTGTTATTGCAGTCACCTTGTGATATATGAAAGGGATAAATGGATAAAGCTGAAAAAATTGATTTGCAGAGCATAATTGTTGGCTTAATTAAACCTGAAGTGAGATCTGAACCAGTAAAACATAACAGCATCATAAATGTGAGCAGTTAAGGATTGGCTGGTATTTTTTTTATTATCTGGGTAAAATTGTAAATTGAATTCTAAGGCTCACATATGTTTTAACAGGCATAAAATTGGTGCTTCTTCCTGATTTTAATTTAGATTAATTTAATTTAAATTCCTGATTTTAATCTAGAATCTGATATGGTGATGTGATGCTTTTTTCCACTGGCATCCTGTCATCAACTGCACTCCCCTGGTGGAGGCTTCGTGTGCCCATCTTTGTACCATGCCCTGAGCTCCTTTCCTTTCTACCTCTGAACAAGCACTACAGTCCTGTCCTTGGCCCTGTGTCTTAAGATACAGAGGAAAACATCATGACATTTAAAAATCTCTCCCCTGATTTATCCCATCTTGCTTAGGAGATCTCAGAGTCTGCTCACCTGGTGCTTCCAAGACTGTCTTGTCTGCAACGGCTGCCTTCACCTAATTGTATTTTTTGCCTAGTCTAGTAAGCTTCTAGAACAGCCCCCATACGATTTTGTGTAAAAATACTTTGTTGAAGGTACACCTGAAAGCCTCAATATTGTTCTTTCAGCTCAGCCACCTGGTTTGGACAGAACTGTTACCACCCAGCTAACCCAGCTTTTTCTGACTGTTACCCTGGAGTGCCCATTTTATGAGGTAATGATACATACGAAACCAGAGCAGATGTTAACAAATTAATTTGATAATGAGCTGAAGACAGTCTTCTGCATAAAAAACATAGGAATTGGATGAAGCAGTTGGGTTTTTTTTTTTCTTTGATGAAAATATGAAGCATTTCTACCTGTTTGATTGACTTGATATATTTGTATCAATATTTGTGTGTTTGACAGAACTGACTAGTTTAGTTAAAGTACCTTTTTGTGTATTTCAAGTATTTTTCCAACAAATATTTTTTTATTTTTTATTTTTTTATTTTATGTTTGGCTTGGGAAGTCTTGGAACACAGAAGGGATCAGGCACTTAGATGTTAACCTGACTGCAGAGAAAGAGCTGTGCATTTCTCATAAGTGATATGTTCAGTGTGTTAGCACGGAAGCCTGTTGAGGATGTGCTGGTGGTTGTTCTGAGTTGTTCTGTTGCTTGTTTTAAGTTTCCAGCAGATCATGCCTTGGACTGTAAGTCTTTCTCACTAGACGTGGCTTTGAAATATACAGAATACATTTTGCTACATTAATATGAGGTAATTACAAAAAATGTTATCTCCTCATTTATTTTGCTTGATTTGGTTTTCTCTCATTATGTAGGGTCCCAAACTCCTTCCAAAGTATCAAGTAAAGGCCTTTCTCACATCTGACAGTTCTATGGATGTTCACCTCCTCAAAAGGGTGAAGGCTGGTTTACTTTATTTACTGAAAAAAAGAATGTATTTTTCATCAGAGGTATCAACACCATATTTCTATACACTTGGTAAGTATAATTTCTTTAGATTTATGATAAAATTTGTGCTTACATTGTCTAAACTTTAGGCTCAGTTATTTTCTGACAGTAAAGTTTGTTATATGAAGTTTTAATGTTACTTCTCTTTTCATTCATACTAGATATTGAGATTAAATTAGATGAAGAAGGTTTTGTATTGCCTGCTGTCCAATGTGAAGAAGTACACAAACGGTAAGAGAAGCAAATAAAGCACTGGTAAAATGTTAGTTAACACTAACAAAGAGCATCCAGGTTAAAACCCTGGCAAAATTTAAGCTAATTGGAGTTTTGCCATTGACCTCTAACAAAGTTCAGGTTTCACATTGAAACCACTGACAAAAGGACAAAATTGGCAAAATTAATGATCTGTACTTTTTTTGTCACTGTTTTATCTCCTGACTTTAGGGTGTCAGACAGTCTCTTTACCCAGTGATACTCAGTATCAAAGTGATCCCAAATAGTAATGTATTTTGATGTTCT